CCCCATTGAATACCCCATTACTGCCCCCCTCATCACCTCTCTCCCCATCACCTGCAGCAGTGGTGGAGGGGACTTGGGGATGATCCTCCAATAATTAGATTCCATGTACAGAAAATTGTAATAAATTTAGAAATTTTATGTCTGTATAATCTAATTATTGGGGGATTGTTTTACATTCAGGGCCGTCTTGTATTTGAGAACATACAGTATCTAAGATCTGGTGATACAAGCTGACACTGGACGATTGGTTTAGTATTGGTGTAAATCAGGAGAAGTTCCCTGATAGCCAACAAGCAACACTGAGGCAAAATCAATGCAGCAAGATAGAATCAAACACTCCGTAACTCTATGCTCACTGATTTTATATTTATTTCACTGAAAGACTTTAGCATTCCATTTTCTGTTAGAAAATTTTAACTTACTATATGATTTGATGGTTTTGCTTTCCCTTCTTCCATCTCTTCCATCCTTCCCTATTATTTTGGTTTACAGTTGGTGTGTGTTTGGTAGTTCTTTCACTGTTTTTCTTTTCATAGAATCACATAAATTAAGGCTGGAAGAGACCTCAAAAGATAATTGAGTCCAACCCCCCTGCTCTGGGTAGGAATACTGCTGAGATCAAATGATCCCCGCAAGGTGTCTGTCCATTCTCCTCTTGAAGACTTCCAAGGTTGGGGACTGCACCATGTACTTGGGAAGTCTATTCCAGATTCTGGTCACCCTTACCATAAAGAAGTTCTTCCTTACAAGCAACCTGAAGCCATCCTCTAACAGTTTATGGCCATTGCTCCTTGTCCTGCCCTGGGCACCCTAGTGAACAGTTTTTCTCAGCTCCCAATATTCACCCCTTACATACTTGTAGGGGGCCACCAAGTCCCCCCACTCAGTCTTCTCTTTCCCAGGCTGAACAGTCCCAAATCACTTAGTCTTTCCTCATAAGGTTTGTCCTCCAGGCTCTTAATCATTCATGTAGCCCTTCTCTGGTACCTTTCAAGATTCTCCATGTGTTTTTTGCAGTGCAGCACCCAGAACTGGATGCAGTACTCCAGTTGAGGTCTCACCAGCACCAAGAACAGAGGAAGTATCACTTAGCTCTGTTTGCAATGCATAGATTCATAGATTGTTAGGGGCTGGAAGGGACCTTGCAGATCATTGGGTCCAGCTCCCCTGCTCTAGGCAAGACGACAACTGGGGTTATGTGACCCCAGTGAGGTGGCTGTCTAGTTTTCTCTTGGAAAACCTTCAGGGTAAGTGACTGCACCACCTCTGAATGGAGTTTATTTCAGTCTGGACACCCTGACTATGAAGGAGTTTTTCCTGGTATTAAGCCTGAAGAAGCCTTCCAGGAGTTTGTATCCATTGGTCCTAGTCTTCCCCCAGGGTGCCCTAGTGAACAGTTGTTCACTGAACTCCTGATGTACTCCTCTGATATAGTGATAAGCTGCTATCAAGTCCCCTCTCAACCTTAGGCTACAGAGGCCCAGGTCCCTCAGCCTTTCCTCATATGGCTTGCCTTGCAAGTCCCTGATCATATGGGTGGCTCTTTTCTGGACCCTCTCAAGTTTTTCCATTTCCTTATTGAAGTGCGGCACCCAGAACTGTATGCAGTACTCCAACTGCGGTCTCACCAGTGCTGAGTACAGTGGGAGTATCACTTCCTTAGTTTTACACAAGATGCATCAGTTGATACATGCCAGTGTATTATTTGCCCTGCTGGCCACTGCATTGCACTGACAGCTCATATTCATGCAATGGTCAATCATTACACCTAGGTCCCTTTCAGCCATGGTGAAAGTCAAGCTGTTACCACCGAGCCTGTATGTATGTTGAGGGTTATTTGCCCCCAGATGGAGCGCCTTACACTTGGAAGTGTTAAATTTAATCTAGTTCTGGTCTACCCAACTCTCGAGTCTGTCTAGGTCCACCTGTATCTGCGACCTATCTTCTGGCATGAACACACTGCCCCATAACTTGGCCAGTGAGCTTTTCACTCCCCCATCCAAATCATGGATAAAGATGTTGAAAAGCACCAGTCCATGCATGGACCCCTGAGGGACACCACTGGCCATTTCACACCAGGATGACACAGATCCATTCATGAGAACTCTCTGAGTCCTACCCTGTAGCCAGTTTCCCACCCACTGAACCATTGAGCAGCTGAGCCCACAATCTTTCAGTTTTCCCAAAAGGATATGTAGGATATTAGATAAAAAGTCTTTTGGAAGTCTAGGTGTATAACGTCTACCTCGTCTCCCATGTCCAGGTGGTGAGAGACCTGATTGTAGAAGGAGATGAGATTGGTAAGACAAGACCTACCCATGACAAAGCCGTGCTGGCTGTTGTTCAGAATTTTACCTTCCGCATGTGTATCGCACGTAGATTCTTTAATGAGCTTTTCCAGGATTTTCCCTGGGATAGAGGTTAGGCTGACTTCCCTATAGTTGCCCAGGTCCTCCCTCTTCTCCTTCTTGAAGAGGGGCATAATGTTGGCCTTCTTCCAATCCTCAGGGATCTCCAGTGTGCACCACGAATTCCGAAAGAGCTTTGCCAGGGGTTCTGTGATGACCTCAACCAGTTCCTTCAGCATTCTTGAATGGAGTCCATCTGGTCCTGCTGACTTATAAATGTCTAGCTTTTCTAGTTGGTATTGCACTCACTCAGCATCCACAGTGGGGAGGCTGTCAGTCCTGGCACGTCCCCTATGAGCCTTATCTTGCTTGACTTTCCCCTTGATCCGGTGAAATACCGAAGCAAAGTGGGCATTCAGGAGTTCAGTTTTGTCCTGAATGTTGGTTACCATCTGTCTCGAGGTGTTAAGCAGGGGTCCCACACTTCCATTTGTTTTCCTTCTACTTCCTACTTACCTAAAGAAGAACTTCTTATTGTCCTTGACTTCTGTAGCTAGCCTAAACTCTGTTGCCACCTTGGCTTTCCTTATCATTTCCCTACCGCCCCCTACAGCTGGCCACTGTTGCATCAGCTAATGCACCCCATTATGCTATTAGCTCTGTTGACTACAACTTTGCACTCTGGCGGTTCATGTTCACTCTGTGATCAACCATAACCCCGGGGTCTCTTTCAGCCATCATACTGGCCAGGGCATCTCCTCATAACCTATATTCATGTCACTTGTTACTTCTTCCCAGATGAAGCACTCTGCATTTATTCTTACTGAATTGCAGAGAACTGCATTCTCTTTCTTTTTCTGTACATCACTCCACCTTGTTTCTCTTTCTTCTTCTTTTTTGACATTGTCTGCTCACCCAAGTTCTTCCTTCTGCATCTCTTTTTCATACCAGCCATCTCCCTATATACAGTGGTGTCAATTTCTTAACAATTGCCAGTTTCTTCTAAACATAAATAAACATCAGAACTTGGTATGTGATAAATGTTGGCAAATGGTAACAATTTAAAGGTGACCACTGCAAATAGTTAGTAGTGCCATACTTAGTAGAGTGTGTAGTCATCCAACAGGATTCACACAAGCTTCTCATTAGATAAGGTATATTCAGTGTGAATACAGGGTTCACACAGTGGTCCCATGAACTAAGGAAAACCCAATGGCGACACCATGTCACTAAAGCCATAAACAAATGTAGGAATTTCTGCATGCAAACAACTTTGAGAATTATTCTGATATTTTTTTAAAGAAGAAAAGAACCTTTCTTCCTTTCCCTCTGGAATAAACTAATGCCTGATACCAAGATCATCTTATAGGATAGTGCCTTGCTTATGTTTTGCATATTACTAAATATCAGCAAAAATAAATGTGTTCATTTCTCCTTAATACCTCCAGATGGCATTAAAACTCTTCTCCTTTAGGTCTTTATTGCAATATAATTTTAAAAAAATGGTAATTATTGGAAGCATTCTGTACCAAAGTACACTATCAACCACTCCCAACAGTCATATTATCAGAAAGCGTAAGGATGCTAGTACTTAATTTAATATGTTTGGCTAAATATGCTAACATACTGTAATTACATTCTACAGAACAATCTGGAGGACATGACATTTCCTAGACCTAGATCATGTCAAGTCTTTTTTTTAGGTTTATATTCAGAAGATTTTAAATGCCTTTCAATAGAAAAAACAAAAATATTCAAGAATAAATTACTCTTTTTTTTTTTTACTTTCTTCTGTGACTACTTTTTGCTGTATAACAAATGGTGGCATCTTGCAAGATTTGTATGATATAACACTAAGAATTTAAATAATGGTGAACAGAGGACATAAATTGCAAACAAGATGCACTCTTAAATTTATATGACTGCAGTCCTATAAGAACTTTCCCCTTCTAATGGGATAAAAAGAGTGAAAGATTTTGTGGAAACTCAAGCCCCTCCTGATTCATGTGAATTACTTGTCTCTCTTGTTTTGGGCAGGGGTTGGTTTATTCTGATAGTTTATTTTGATGATGGTAAAACAGTTCAGTCCTTTATATGCTGAGGAACAAAAACAAGGTAAAACCCTCCACTGTTGCATTCAAGTGCAGGTGAACTGATATATTACAAGTGCCTATTTCTCTCTTTCTCAGATCCTTTTGTTAATTTAAAAACATCAACAAAATCATGAGAGACCAGAGATAGCTGTAATTGGATTTCAAGTAATTCAGAGATGAAGCTGCAGACTGCAGTCTTTTAAAATTACATCAGTACATCAAAGGCATATGTGACATGATATCTTTTAGCAAGTGTGACAAATTCCTGAAGCATTAAGGTAATGTCGAACCTCTGGCTCTAAAGGCCAGCCTCCTGCACACCACAAAATCATTTAATATTTATTCAGCTCGATACACAGCCATCTCACTTATTAAGATCTCTCAGGTTAAAGATGCAAATGTTTTATGAACAATTAATGAATCATGACTAAAAAGCATTTTTAAGAATAACATCAGTGAAAGAGCTTCAACTTAATGAAAGCAAACAAAAACTATTTTGCATGACAAAGCAGATAAAAGCATAGTAGTCAACTCTGATTAGAAACAAAAACTGACTTACGATGTATGAGATGCACTATTTTCTGGACTCTTTGGCTCAACATCACTTTTCCCTTGAAAAAGAAGAAAATGAGTGAATAAGAAAATCTTTTGATTTGACATTCCGTCTCATTTTCATGCTTATATTTAACACTTTCTGAATATGCAGAAGAATGCTTCCTAAGTAATCATGTGTCAGGTTGCTAGGGCATTACAGAAACAATTGCAAACATTGAATTAACCACAACATGACTTTTCATGGCTCTCTTATTTTTGCTTAGGAAATTTCAGTCCAATCAGGTCCTCGGTAAGAAGGCAGAAAATGCAGTAAGAGTGGCTGCTTAGAGGACAGAACACTCTGGATTGTGAAATGGGATGTGGAAGTCCACAAAGGAATCAAATATGTCTAACTGCTCTGTTAGATGTCTACATCTTTTATTGGGATTTTCAAAATCCCCACACATTTTCTGCTGATTGCCTGAACGTGGTTTCCCTTGGCACCTAAGCGCTTGTCCATACCACATCAGAGGTGGCCTCTGGGGAGAACAGGACTGAATTCACCCAAGTCTGCTGATGCACACTACAGTGGAAACTTCACAATGAAGCTGGTCTTGTGAACAGCTGGTGTTGTCAACAGGCCAAGGGTCCCAAAGCAGCTGAGATGCTAAGTACCTAAATCCTGGCAGAAGTCATAAACCAAATATTTCTCAATTCATTTTCCTGCAGAAGCCTATGTGTTAGGTGGTTTCAGAAAATGTCTTCTGGATCAACCAGGGGGAAAAGGGGTCAGAGCAAATAATGCTGCAACCAGGGGTTTAGGATATTCATCTTGGAGGCACAATAGAACAGCTTCATGGAAATACAGATAGACCTACACCTGATTGCCGTACGTTCACATATGCTCCAATAGTTAGAGCACTCTGCTGAGAAATGGATGATATGGATTCAAATCTCTGTCCCAAATCAAGCAGAATGGAGATTTGAACCTTAGACTCCCACATGAAGGCTCTAACCACTAGGCAATAGATTTCTAGGGTTTTGGTGGTAGAGGACCTCAGGTTGTTGGGGTTTTTTTGTCATCTAGAATTGATATAGCTTAGACACCTAACTCCAGAAGGGGATTGTGGCAGGATACTTAGTGTACCTGCCCTTGTAAGAGAAGAAGCTGCCTGAGAGGCAGCTTCCAGGTGGTATGGAGGGGAGGGGAGCTGACTCACCTGACTGGGAGAGAGCAGAGCCTGAGCCAAATAAGCCCAAAGCCTGAACGGGTCAGGCAGTCTAGCCCTGACAGCCACGAGGAGATGGACTCCAGTTAGCAGGACTCCTGAGGAATTTGGGAAGCTGCTCCACTTCCCAAAGGGAACATTATCTAGGCAGATAGAGAAGGGGTTTTTTTGCAGTCAAGTGGCCTTTATTTGATGCTGGTACTCTTTTTTGAGATGCAAGCCTTGAATCCTGCTGGAAGCAGGCTCAAGGTCTACTCAGTGAGCCAGTAGCTCAGAGGGGAGCAGGGAGTTGGGTTAGATGGTCCACCAATCCAGGGAGTGGCCAAGCATGGGACTAGGAGGCCCAGGAGCCAGGGAGTGGCCGAGTGTGGGACCAAGGGGCAGGGGAGACGGGGAGTGGCCAAGCATGGAACCAGGGGGCCATGGAGCCCAGGGAGGCACTAAGCATGGGACCAGGGGGTCCAGGAGCTGAGTGACTCAGAGGGTTTGAGAGTCCAGGGAGGGGCTAAATGTGGAAGGAACATCAGGAGTAATAACGCCTGTGAGGCCTGGGGCATGGTGTAGGGGCAGATGGAGCCATACAATTGGCCCTTATGGCAACAGTTGCCAGGGAGGGGTACAGAGAGGCTAAGTGGGCCCATTTATCCTGGGTACTGAGTAGAGACTAGTGGGGTCTGGGAGGGACCAGTTGGTGATTCAAAGGAATAAAGCTCACTCTAAAGCCCATGGGCAGCCTCCTGCCCTAATCTTTATTAAAAACACTGCATAGCAGGTGAGTCATCAAGTGGGGCTATCTTGGAACTGGAGCCCGGCAGGAGCCATTCGACCATTAGGTAGTGTCATGGCCATCCTTAGGTTCAGGTCCTGCTACAAGAATCTTAGATGTTTAAATCCTTGAGAAAGGTGAGCGGGTCCTAAACCTTGCCCCTCATAAGTAATTCCTACTGGCTAGCTTAAGAGGCAGTGGGCGCACAGTGTGTTGGCCTTTATGGATCCCATTCTTAGGTGCCTAACTCTCCCTGTGGCTTGTACAGGAAGTGCAAGCAGCTATCTCAGGGCTATGGATTCCCCTAAGTACTAGGTTACGTAAAAACAAAATGCTCTAATGGTCAGCCTGAGACCCCTTTTCAGTTCTAACCCTTAGTTACTGTGAGTCTGAAGCAAAGATCAAACTGGAAAGCATCCCACTCTCCACCACCAAAAACCAAACCAAAACAACCACAACTCTTCCTCCTCAAATAACCCAAGCTGGGTTCATCATCTTTGTAGTAAACATTTTGTCTTCTGAATAACCTGCAGGAGACAAGTCTTAGTATTAGACTCTCCCCAGCTAAAAGGTGATTGCGCATAGAACATGGCCATATTTTTCCTACCCAGAATTCAAAGCTGGGGCATTGCAGATCTTAGTATTCTTTCGCTGCTCTTTCTCTTGCGAGTTAGGGTGAGGTGGGGAAAAGGCAGAGAGGAGCATGGAGTAAGTACATGTGTGGCTACTTGTTCCCGTCCTTCAGGAACTGCCGTCACATTGCCAAGTCCATCTCCTCCCAGGGTGATGGTCACACAGGCTGCCACTTATGAAGAAGGCAGTGCCATGAGGTAGCCATTAAGGAGGAATAATACTGGTTTGAACACCTTCAGTGAGCTGATATATTTTTATTGGTATTGCATAGGGATGTGAAAGGTTAAACGTTTAAACAACAATGGGTATTTATATGAGGGTTAATGTTTAGCATGGGGTGTGATCTGGCAGGGAAGGGAAGTGGCGCAGTGCCTCAGGAACAGGAAGGTAGCAGGGCAGGCAGGAGCGGGGGAGAGCAAGGAGGAGAGAAGAGTATGGAAGGGGAGAGCAGGGGTAGTACCTGTAGCCTATGAAGTTAGAGGAAAAGACGTGCCCTAATACATCATAAGTTAAGCAATCAGCTAGTCATTCATAGATGCTGGGAAGCCTGCTGGAGGGAGATAGCAAGCTACTTAACGTCTAAACCCATACCCAACCTATATTGCCTGCTCCTGCCCTCCCAGCACACTAATGGCTGCAGTGGGCTAGGAAAGCCTCTCACCTGCTGCTGCCACCCACAACTTCATGTGGGCTGTGTTGTCTGAGAGGGCTTGGCAGCGCCTCCTCTCCTCTCCCCCATCAAAGGCCCTGGGCAGCAGCTCCCAGCAGCAGCTGTGTCCGAGTGGGTCCGTGTGTGGCCCCTGACTCTCCTCACTGCTGTAGGCTGGGACTAGATATGTGGTATTGGTTAACTGTTTAACTGATATAATTAGAGGAGGTTAAGTGGATAATTTTTTTAACAATATTTACATCCCTAATATTGCACGTTCTTGCAATACCAGTAAAAATATACCATTCACAACTGGAGTAAAAAATATTGTCCATAATTGGAGTGCAAAATAATAAACAACTGGCCAGGTACTTGTTCATAATTAGGCACTGAAATGCTGCTTACATGTAGTTTGTGCTAGTTTAAGATTAGGAGACATAGGGCACAGACAGAAGTGAAATTTTTTGCATGATTTGATTCCTGAAAGTGTTCTACAGCTGTGATGTAACACATGTGTATGGCTGCAGAGTGCTTTTAAAATGCGCAATCTCATGAAAAATGAAGCCTTGTCAAACCAGGTATTAGATTAAAGCACTCTGATGTAGGGTGCCTTAGAGAACTTGTGTTCCCTTAAGGGTTCATTTTTCATGCAGGGGCGGGGCTGTCAGCAGGGAGGAAGGAAGAAGGGAGCAGCATGGAGTTCCTGGCCAGGCCTGGTGGGGAAGGGAGGAGGTGGTACAGACTCCCCTCACCTGGCAGGCCCCTGCTCCAGCTACCTCAGCTGGGGAATTGTGCAGAGCCGGGTTCGCTCCATGAGGCAAGGAGGCAAGGGGGCTCCATACCTCTCCCCTTCCCCCCTCTACCCCTCACCCCCCAGCTCCAGCTGGGCTTCTTGAGAGTGGTCTGATCCTGGCCTGAGCTGGGCCCGAATGTCTGTAGGCACCCAGAGAGGCTTAATGCAACTATCTTACTGATAGGATATATTTTCTTTCATTAAATTTTAATGAGTTTTTCAAACCAAAATCCCTTTATGTTCTTGCTCTTTTTTTGTTTTTGTTTTGGTCCAGCTGTTTGATTGCCTGACTCTCAGGCTACTGGACAACAAGGACAATTTCTAAATGATTTCTTAAATCATAGGAAAATGTGGTTGGGGTGTTTTTTTTTTTTTTTTTTAGCCAAAAATTGGGGATTTTTTTAAATCAGAGAAAACCAGGATCCCTGGTTATTACCAAAGTTCCCAAGCTTGGTATCCATTACAAAGGTAGAAGAACTTGCATTCTGAAGTGAACCTCTAGGATGAAATTTAGGCTCCTCTCAAGTCAGTAGGAGTTTGCCATTTAATGGAAAAAGGATTTCACCCATGTTATTTTTCCATTGCTAGCCTGAAGTAAGTTGGAATACTTGAGCAAGATAATTATGCTTCTGAGAACAGGGATCTATTAAAGGAGCCTCTGATTAACTTGTGTTGCCCCATGATGCTTCTAAATCTTGTCTTATCCTGGAGCTGGAGGAAGACTTCATGGAAATGTTGCTTACCCTTCTGAGATCAGACTAGCAAAACTTGGTCTAGCAAAATGAGGGCAGAAGAATGATTATGACTGCTGCCCATATAAAAACAGCAGGGAAGTAAACCATGAGAAATCCTAGCAACTAGCATTAGATTCTGGAGTAATCTTCCATTCCAAATTGTCTGGGTGAAAAACTCATCTGGTTTTATGAAGAAGCTCAATCAGTTTATTAAAGGGTTTATATAACCTGGCTACCTGCAATAGTGGGGGATTTGACGTGATGACCCAGTTCTCTGCTTCTATGTTGTTGTTTTTTAGCAACAATCTGCCTTGAAATTTTGGGTAACCCCGTGCCGATATTTCAGAACAAATGCTATTTCAGAAGAAGCAGCCAGCCATAACTACTTGTTTTTATTAAAGATTTTTTCATTTGTACCCAGTACTTTTCCTGGTAAAATAGCAGTAGTCCAGCGACTGATGATTCATTTCCATGCAAATATAATGGAGTGAGGGAGGGGTCTTGAGTGGCTTGTAAACAGGGTGCATACTAACTGGAAAATCCAGTTTTTCTTTTGATCTACTCTTAGCAGCGTTTCTTGTTGTGGCAACAAGTGAAAAGAATAGATTCTCTAGTTGTGATTGAATTAGCCAAACATGATATTAATTAGTTACTCTGCATACAGACTATAGAATTAGGTCCTTAATGCTTTATTGACTCTATAGATTCTATAGCCATAGACATTTGAGGAAAAAGTAGACTAAAGATGAATAAAAATCAAAGATATGGATTATAGATTCAGTTTGGAGACATACAGTAAAAGGATGTTACTTCTCTGAACTGCCTGACCTTTCTCAAACACTCTTTTATCCAGACTGAGACTGTCTTCCAAATTTTTCAACAGCACATACACACAGGTCTTGGCCTGTTATTTGTTACAGGTATTACTGTGGGGTCAGATCACTGGACAACCTGTTAAGCCTCTCCAACTTCAGAAAATTATGAAACACTTTCCTTTTTTAACCTCAGTTTATTGGAGTTGGCCAAAACAGGCTTCTTTTGCAGACCTACTGTTGGTCTTATGTCTTCCTAGCCTCCTTGACTGATCTGGAGTTTGTGTGTGTGTGTATGTGTGTATTTGAGAATACATTGTTGGTTTCTGCTGCTTTTCAGTGAACTACTCTTTAAATATTCTAAGTGTGCAGGGCTTGGATACAAAGGACTGCGCAAGACCCAATTCAAATTCACATTTTCCATGGGGGATTAGAGATCATTGCATTGTGTCCTGAATAGTCCTGAATAGAGAAGTGAAATTTTAGGCTTCTATCTCCCAGGAGATCTCCATTTTGGATAATCTTGTAGGTGAAGCAGAATCCAAGTTCTTTCAACTCAGCCATGTAGTTTCTGTTAAAAATTGGGCAAATCTCTGACATTGCTTAGGTTTCTTTTCCTACTTGATATAATAGGGATTATATTTATTTCATTATTGCAATGAAACTTTATGGGTTAGGTTTCATAAAGTGCTCTGAGATTCTAGTGGAGAAGGTACTGCTGGGCCCACCAAGGCCAGTTAAAAAGCCTTGGTGGGCTAGATGTGGCCTGCGGACTATATTTTGCCCACCCCTGGGCTAAAGTCAAGACTCAGAGCCACTCCCAAATTAAACTTGGGAGGTTATCGCTAATTAGAACTCCAAAAAATTACAGAGAGGTCAAGCCATGTAATCATCATTCTGGCACTTCCCACAGCAGAAGCCATTTGTTAGCATTTCCCCAAGGCTCAGCGCAAATTTTCGGGTTTAATGCAAGTTGTGGGCAAAGGTTTGGCAGTATGCATATCTTATTCTTTCCAAGCTTGCTGCAGATGGCTGCATGAATCCTCTTTTTCTTTTTTTTTACTATTAAAAATATGTAGGGACCTAGAAATATTTAAAATTAAACAAAGGGAAAGGATGACTAAAGTTAGGCAAACATTATGGCCTTCTGATGTCATCACAAACCACTCAAGTTTGGCTCTTATGTTTATTATGCTCAGTATTCCTTGAGTGTTTGCATACCTTTATTTATTACGGCTCTTTAGTGCTACCTTCTCTCATTACTGTATTCATTATTTTCTGACAGAACCTCATCCCCTTTGCCTTTTTATTACTTCCTTAGTGCTGATGCTCATAGCAATATCAAACCAATGGTGGCAATTAAGTAGCACCACTACTTGCTTCTTCACAACATTGCCTTCTACATGCTGACCTTTCCTTAGCAAAGTGCTGTACAGTATTAATAGCCTGAAGTTTCCCAGCATTTTCCCTCTGGATATCTTTTCCCCTTGCCCAGTGGGTGACCAGTCAGTTTCAAAGCCAAGTCGACTGGTTCAGAGCGTTTTTCATCTTCAAACACAGCTTTGTAATCTGCAAACAGTGTTCCATGCTAGCTGACAGGTCATGAATCTAACAAAATAGCTCCTCTGGTTAGCAAGATTTTATGTTATGGACAAGATAGGGTCATGTATTTTTAATATGTGAACAACATTAATACTAATCAGGGTAGTCAGAGAGGTGAATTAATCCTTTGTTTTGCAGAACAATTACATCTTTATTTTCAGTACAGCTGCTAAGTGTTTTACCTGCTACGAAATGAAATTAAAGTACTGTGGTTTTTCATGATGCTTTGTGCATTTTAATATGAAGAAAGACCAAAACATGGGCCTAGCAAACTTTACATACAATGCTACAATGGCATACTAAGGAAGGTCCAAAATGATAGATCTTTTGAAGAAGTGCTATTGATTTGTTTCACAAAATTAATCTACAGTTCATCTGTATGGCCATATACATTCATAGTGCCACTGCATCTAAATCAAATCATCATCATTATTGTAATCCTTGTAATAATAATAATAATAATGCTATCTCTTGGGAACTTTATATAATTTGGAGGCTGAAGTTGTGCTTGTTTCTTTGTATGTCCATCGGGCATTCTGTTAGCTTTCTATTATTTTAGAAAAGCAAACATTTTCCCTTTGACACTTCTTTCACACTGAGTAGAACGGGACATGATGAAACAGATTAATCCTGTTTTTTCCAGCCCACAGGACATGAGACTTCCTACATTATTCCAGAATCCAGTTATCTCTACTTTTGGATACCCCAGTGCCTTGACTCCTGTACTAGGACAATTTATTTCATGTTTCCAATGTCTTTGTAATTTTCCTCCCTCTGCTCTACTATTCCCATGAATTTAAAAGTCAACACATTCACCAAATCCAGCTGTAAAATAAAGGCAATTCTTACTTGTATTGCTGGGTCCTGTTGATCCCTGTTGTGACTCCTATAATCAGGAAAAAAGCATACCATGTGTTATTATTTATAATGTTTAGATACAACGTTCATTGAATATGTTACATTACTGCTACTAACCAGTTTTGTTAATTACTCATTCACTTTATTTACAGAACATCATTTTCAGCTGCAAGAATAAAATCAAATACTCCCTTGAAAAATAAATTTACATTAGGCCTTCATATTCCTCTCATAGCCAAGATAGTTTAATAGTACAGTTTTTTCACTATCAATCTCCAGATTATTATTAACTTATCACTCTACTAGAACTCGTAATACTAGTAATACTAGCCCCTTGGGCTATTACTGCCTACCAGGCTAGGGGAGAACACAGACAGGAAAATGAATTATTATTATTGGGATCTATTAGAATATTCTGGGAGCTGATCCTTCATCCCTGACCTGAGGATCACAAAAATTGTGTCGACAACAGATCATGAAATTGGTATCTGAAGGAGAGTTAAAGTTCAGTCTCCAGTGCTGAGCCTGGTTCTCCCAAACCAAGTCAGCCTCTTAATCACATCAGCAATATTAATTAATACGCTACAATACACTCCATCAACTTTTTTCATACACAGTCATATACCATACTTACTGAATTTGCACTCATAAAAATGTAAAGTTAATCTACCAATAAAAAAGCAATAACAATATGTCTTTTTTATCTGTATTTTATATTTTTAAAAAAAAAGAGCAAGAATACTAGGAAAGCAAACAAATATAAGTACACATTCCCTTCTGTGTGAACAAAATACAAGCTCCTACAGATTTTGAAATATCATTAGATGAACCTAAAACCAACCAAAGCTTCAAATATGGCTTAGTAGTGTATCCTTGTCTTGTGTATCTCAAACAAGACTTTGGTGGACCAGCAGGTATGTATTTAACACTAAAGTTTTATAATTATGCTTTATTAGAAATACGTTAAATGTTTTTATAGAAAATTTTGAACATCAAAAAAAAACCCACTGTCAAATGTCTGTCTCCAATCTGAAGTCTTCCCAGTAAATGTGTATAAATTTGCGTTTTAAAAATAGTTCAATACAATTATGAGCAATTTTTAGACTTTATACACAAAAAGTGTCTGAATACAGTAACATCAAATTGATACATTCCTGTATATCGTTGACTTGTTCTTGGCTGCCCCTTACAATACCTAAATGTGGACTCATGGAGTAAATAAAGATTACAACTTTGGAGGAATAGGTATATATAACAATACATACAGCCACTTCCAGGCAGAAGTAAGATTTCAGGCTAGAGGCTTAGTGCTAAGCGTTGAACCGAAGGAAGGGCTCAAGGTAGGAGAGTCTGTTTTTTATTATTATTTCCTGGCAAAAAATGTCATAGGATTGTAAACACTGATTAATTATTTAAGTGAAAAAGCAGCTGAGAAGTCTGTAGTTTTCCTGAAAAATAAAAGCATTAGGAAAACAGGACATTCAAAGTGTATGGTCCTCTGCAATGAATAAAGTGAAAACAAGTATAGAAATCCACTCAGCCATCCTTTACTCTTTCTTGTCTCCGGCCAGAGATTCTTCCTGCTCACCAACTACTACAGCAGTGGTAGGCAGCCCCCAAGGACTGGGTTTGTTGTGGCTCAACTGCCATCCGTCCCTGGCACTCCAACCTTTTACAAGTCGAGGTTGTGGGTGTTTTTGGCAGCCTGCCCAAAAACATTGCTGACGCCTGCACAACAGGTTTGAATAGAGATTTTATTACAGCAATTTTAAATCTGCTACGAGCTTGATCATTATGGATCCTGGTTTTCCCTGATTAAAAAAAATCATACATTCTCTGATAAAAAAATTGCAAATTCTCTGATAAAACCCCCAAGATCTGAGATTAAAATGAAAGGCCCCTCACTCCCCACCTCAACAGTCCCCTGGCCCTACTGGTGCCCCTTGCCCCTCACCCATAGCTTCCTCCTCTCATCTCAGCCCTCCCAGAGGGGGCCTCCAGCTGCCAGGGCTATGGGGTCAGGGACCCGGGTCTGCAGTCCCCTGCCCCCAGCAGAAGGCAGCAGCTGCCGCAGCAGAGCAGAGCTTGGTTCCCAACTTGCTGCCTGCCTGCTGCCTGCTGTGGGCTCAGGTGGGGAGGGCAGCTCCCTACCGCTGCACGCACTCCTGAGGGGGGAGATCTGTGCACGGGGTGGGGGCAGGCACGGGTTGCCTGCTGCAGGCTTGGGCTCCCGCCCTGCTGCCCTCCCCTAGGGCTTCAGCAGCCCAGCAGGTGTGACTCAGTGTGGCAGGACACAGCAGGGCCTCACAGGGATCTCCTGGCTGCTGTGAGCTCCACGCTGACCTGGCAACCCATCCCCTGCATGTGCGGGAGCAGCAGGGGTAGTGGAGCAGGGTTGTGCCCCTCACTGCTCCTGCACAGGCAGGGGCAGCATGGATCTCACAGTGGCAAGGAGATCCCTGTGCCTCCATGCTGTTCTCTGCAGTGCCAAATTGCACCTGCTAAACTGGGGAGGCCTTGGAGGAGGGCAGCAAGGCAGGAGCCCAAGCCCATAGCGGGCAGCCCGTGCCCGCTTTTGCCCCATGCACAGGTCTGAGGGAAATAGGCCCCCCTGACCTCCCAGGAGTGAGCACAGTGATGGGGTGCCAGCCTGCCCCCCAGCACCCCCTGGATCCCTCGAGGGACCCACAGCCCTGTCCTGCTCCCTTCTGGGTCTCTGCGGCTGCACATGGCAGCCCCATGCCCCATGCAGCGCCTGGCTGGGCAGCAGCCCCAGCCCCAGCCCAGCTCAACTCCCTCCCTATGGGGGCCTCAATCCCACCCTCCCACTTACCTGCAAGAGCTGTTCTCCAGGCTGCCTGGCCATGTGTATATACATGTGCCTATGGCACCCCCTGCCTGACTGGCCTCCTCTTCACCCCCCCCCCCCCCCCCCCCCCCAATCCCTTGCAGGCTGGAACTCTGCCAGCCTGCAGAGAGCTTTTTGCAAAACTGCAAAACCCGTGGGTTTCTCCATTAAAATGAGAAATCCACATTTTTCTCTGGTAAAGGGGGAAAATCTGTGTTTTTCTCCATTTTTCCATAGGAAACAGAAAACCCAGATCCCTGTTGATTGTGTTTCATTCATTTCAGTATGACTTTTTACATTAACTAGAATGAAAGCATGATCATGGTCTAAGGGTTCAATCCCAAGCCACTTCTCAACATCTTTGACTTACAGTGATGTTTAGAGCATTGACTTGGGGATATTTAGAATTTGCATGCTACGTAGACTTTACATTTGAAGTCAGGGGTCACTGGACTTCCTCAGCTCTCGTTTGAGATCTATATATCTGTAGTATGCATCTGTTATTCACTGCTAAGCAATGTACCTGAAATGTACCTATTTTTTAATCTGGTTTTAAAAAGTTTAGAGCTCTGGACATAGTACCTAAGATCTACCATGTCCCACAATATGAAATCCAATTTTTTTAACATTTGAAACGGTCTACTTTTGAGGAACTGTTCTATCTTTTAAAAAACACTTCTGAGGCTTCCATTACAAAGTTGGAGAAAAAAGGGCATCTGTGCCTTTTAGAGAGAAGGCACAGACTAGACCCTACCAGTTGACGCCACCCCAATCCAGGATATATAAGTCTACTTCCGTGCTGAGCCAGGGAATTGCCCTTGGGGCAGCCCACACTGCAGCTGAAGACTGATGGTAGTGGTCTGAAGCTAAGACATAGCCTAAGAGAGGAGCTGTGACTTGGGGAAGGAGTGGAAGCAAGGAAGCTGGTGGCAAGTGACATAATCTGGAGAGGGGCTTAGAAGAACATGGTCAAGTACTGGGGCAAAAGGTGCTGAGCAGTGTGAGGCACCTCCTGAATAGGACTGCTGAAGGCAGTGGCACTATGAAATGATTACTGTAGAAAGCAACACTTGAGAGCTCATGGTAGGCCAGCACCTGTGAGAGGACTATTGGCATGATGGACTGGCAGCCCACACATGGACTATCAGGTGGTGCACGATGATGTTGCACATGGACTATCAGGTAGTAGACAGTAGGGCTGTGCAAAGCTTTGGTCCCTAATTCTATTTGGCGGAGATCTGGCCTGATTCAGTGGCTGAATCTCCAAATCCAAATTGAAGCAGAGGACTCTTTAATCTCTCTGAATTGAATCAGAACCCTCTGAATCGATTTGGAAAGATTTGGCGATTTGGACATAGAGATAACTTTAAATATTTTTTCTACACACCTCAAGGTACCAGGTGGCTTGTGAATGATGAGATGGTGGGGTGGATGGAGCGTCCCACAGAAGCGCGGGGGGCTCCCAGCAGCAGACCCGGAAGTGGACCTTCTGGTCCACCTGTGGGTCCACTGGAGACTGTGCTGGGGGGCCCCCCGCACCTCCCTGGCTCTGTGACTGGTGCCTCCTGGGTCTGGGGGGCACCCAGGGTCCCCTCATGCCCAATTGCTGAGCTGGGGGGGCATGGGGAGGGGCCCCCAGCATGCTTCCTGGCGGACCCAGAAGTGGACTGGAACTATTTCTGGTCCATTTCCGGGTTTGCCACTATGTGGGGGCCCCCCATACTCCTGTGGAATGCTCCATGCACCCCAGCATTGCAGCATTCACGACCCACACCTCTAGGTATGTAGAAAAAACATTTAAAGGTGTGCCTATGTCCAAATCGCTGATTCTCTGAATCAGCATCAAATCTTCAGATTCGGATTTGGCTGAATCGAATTAGGGACAGCGATCCAAATCAACAACTCAAATCACTGTCCTTGATTTGGGCTGAATCTGAATCCAAATCAAATAGGGCCTGTTTTGCATACCTCTAGTAGACAGTGTCCTATGCATGGGCTATTTGAGATGCTTTATCAGTGGGCTGGGCTATTAGCTTGCTGAGTCTGGAACCCCGAGGAGAGGCCCAGCAGCCGAACAGGCTGGGAAGCCTTGGGAGAGAGCAGCTTAGCACAGTAGCAGGTCAGAGGCCACGTGTCATGGGAGGAGTCCAGAGAGAAAAGACTACTTTGCGGGGGGTGAG